TGCTTGATTAGCAATATAATAATAATGGTATAATATAAATATGCTTGATTAGCAATATAATTACAATAATATAATATAAATGTGCTTGATTAGCAATATACATAAAGCCCGTCGGCTCTTTAACTAAATATAAATGGTCGACCAAATACTCACAACAAATAGGTGTTTAACTCAGGCGGCGGATTTCATCCCACGCGACCGTGCCGGGTACGTAATTATAACAATGAATAAATAACAGGTCACAAATTACAACAGTACAGCCCGCACACGTGCGACCACCTGAATCGTAACCAATCGACAATGAATTCACCATCGGCAGCGGCGTGCAAAAACAAATACAAATACACACAACAAGACTAAGGTCCACAAAACTGCCAACACCTTGTGACCACCCTGTTGGAAAATATTATATTAAAAACCAATTTATTGCTAAGGTCCGAACGATATTTACCCAAAAACAAAAAAAACCAATCCAAACGAATGAGCACGAGGTTTTATATATGAAGATGACAAAACAATGAACTCAGCGTTAACGCTTGAAAGTGACAATGAAAAAAGCGAACTGGTGCCGGTGCGTCCGGCCTTTTATAAACGCTGCGGTGCAGTGTCGGCGAAGCATGGATATAATATAAATAATTAAGAACTTAAGCTTAACAACACTGGTCACAGCGAAGACTTTTACAATTGCGAAAAAGCACTTAATAAAAAGTACATAGATACAAAAACAAATATAGAAAAATATAATAATATGATATAATGAACGAGCGAGAAACACCGGAGTATCGGACTGATATGATAACACGGAATAAGTGGTTTTCAATCAGCTGTTGTCAACCAAGCCACGGTAACGCACGATGCGAACGCCACCACTCAACACAAAATGAGATAATAATAATATATATAGTGGTACAACTGATTAGGCCGCGCCGGCGGGAAATAATAATTTAAAAGTTGTTTGCGGTGCAAACATATACCCCCCCTTTGAAAGGATCGGCCTTTCAAATTGATATTTCCAGTGTCAATAATAATGTGATTGCGACATGAGTACAAATGAACATAATATGGTTAACAATGAACATCAACAATATTTCTGATATGAATATGAATAATATAAAAGTAACAAAAAATAAATAAACAAAATATTTTACAAATTTGAAATATAGCCAATAGGCTTTACACTTTAAAAGGTTCGACGTCTTCGTCAGCTGATGTGGGTAGTAGAGCCAGTTTCACCACTGGACGTTTGAGTTCCACACCAGAGGAATTAAGCACGGTAACAGCTCTAACAATTTGGTCTAGTCCAGGATGCACCTTTACTACACGTACCAAATTCCAGTGAATTGGAGGTAGCAAATCATCCTTTAAGATTGCTAGATCTCCAACTTGGAAGTTCTTGGTTGGTTTGGTCCATTTTCCTCGTTTTTGGATTTGCGGCAAATATTCAGTAGACCAACGCTTCCAAAAATGTTGCATTTGAGCCTGCATTAGTTTAAAACGTTTCAATCTGTTGTGAGGGACTGTTGACAGATCCAACTCAGGTGGAAGCATCAAAGGTCCTCCAACAAGGAAATGGCCCGGAGTAAGGGCAGTGAAATCTGATGGTGAAGTGGATAATGGTGTCAACGGGCGGGAATTTAAGACAGCCTCAATTTGACACAGGAGGGTTGTAGTCTCATCGTACGTCATGCTGACTCCTTTGGAAATGCAGTACAAATGCTTTTTTGCAGACTTCACAGCTGATTCCCAAAGTCCGCCAAAGTGAGGGGAGGAAGGCGGAATGAACTGCCAAGTAATACTTCGAGCGGAGAGGAATTCGTGAGTTTTGTTATTACGGTTAAATTCACGAAACTTACTTAACAACTCACGATTCGCACCCACAAAATTTGTCCCATTATCACTGAACAACCGTGCGCACTGGCCACGCCTAGACATAAATCTGGTCAATGTCGCAAGGAAGTCCTCTGAAGACAGTGAAGAAACGAGCTCCAAGTGTACAGCCCGGGTCACTAGACATACAAAAACACAAACATATCCTTTGGTAGGTGCTATTCTACGTAAACCACTCCGTATGGTAAATGGACCACAATAATCCACCCCAACCCGAGAGAATGGTCTTTCGACTGTAACGCGTTCTCGTGGGAGAGGTGCCATGAATGGTGGAATGAACTTTGGTCGTGAACGGAAACACTGAATGCAGTTGGATACTGTGTGCTTTGCGATTATTCTGCCTCGGATGGGCCAATATTCGTTATTAATATGGGCTAGCAACGCTTGAGGTCCTACGTGCAATAGTCTGCGGTGTTCATATTCGAAAATCAATTTTGTGATTGTACCCTTTGAAGGAAGGACTATTGGGTACTTTTTGGAATCAGCAATGGGGGCATTGGCAAGGCGACCACCTACCCGAATTAAGCCAAATTTGTCAAGAAATGGATTCAGCTGCTTCAGACAGCTTCGATGCAGAACTAATTTATTGGCCGTGAGTGCAGCTATCTCATCAGGAAAATTATCTGACTGAGCTTTTGAGAGCCAAAAATATCTTGATGACTGTATCTCATGAACTGAAATAAATCCAACCATTCTTTCGTTTGCCGGTTGATTCTTTTTCTTGGAATTGAACTTGCAATTGAAAATGAACCTTTTTACTAACGCTGTTATGCGCAATAGCTTCATCCAATTAGAATATGACTCTGAGATCCAACTTGTTACAGGCGGAATTGTGGTTAGTACTAGTTTAACTGGTCTGAGTTCGGGAAGCTCACTGATTAGACTTGGAGTAATAGGCCATGATGTACTTTCTTGACTTAACCATTCAGGTCCATGCCACCATAGTTTTGAGTGTGAAATTGAGCTAGCGTCTACACCTCTTGTGATGAGATCAGCAGGGTTATCTGAAGTGGGTACATAAAACCATTGGTGGGGCTTAGTTAAATCATGAATACGAGCCAAACGGTTTGAAACATACACTTGGAAAAGACTGTTACTGCATATCCATGAAATGACAATAGTAGAATCCGACCAAAGATATATATTTGAAGGCGATACAGTTATATTTAACAAATTCAATTCCACTAATACATCAGATAAAGACTCAGCCAGTAGTAATGCTCCAGATAGCTCCAGCCTCGGGATTGTTGATGCTTGAATAGGCGCCACTCTGGATTTAGAGGTGAATAAGCTGATATTGACATTACCTGTAGTAGAGATAGACTTAATATAAATGCAACAACCAAATGCCTCTTGGGAGGCATCGCAAAATCCATGAATTTCTAATCGGGTATGTTCAACTGGTACTGCCCTTCTGGGTATTTTCAATTGTTTCAGAGACTGTAACCCAACATAAAATTTTGCCCATCTAGCTTGCAAATCTTTGGATAGAATGTCATCCCAGCCTAATTTAAAAGTCCATAGCTGCTGTAAAAATATTTTGCCTACTATAAGCACTGGAGTGATTAGGCCAATAGGATCATAAATACTATTTATGTCAGATAATAGACTTCGTTTGGTCATGAATGCTGGTGGAGACCAATCTTTCACAGAAAAATGAAACGTGTCAGTGATTGGTTGCCATAATAAACCGAGTGCACTAATCGTGTCTTGCTCATTCAGATTGACCATGAAATTGGGTTCATCTGCTGCATCAGGTAAACGATTCATAAGTGATTGCGAGCTAGAACACCATTTTCGCAAAGGAAATCCCACATCGTTTAGGGCTAGCTGAATCTGGTTATGTATTTCAAAACACTCCTCTTCCGTTTTGCCACCACTTAGGAGGTCATCGACATAAAAATCTTGGGAGATGATGCGCTTCATTAAACTGTTGTTGGTGTCCAACGAAACCTGATGAAGGCATCGAGTTGCTAAATAAGATGCTGATTTAGTACCATATGTAACGGTGGTCAATTTATATTCCTGCAATGATTCTTCAGGACTGGAAAGATAAATTATTCTTTGCAAATTGCAATCCTCAGGAGATACTAGAATTTGCCGGTACATTTTTGCTACGTCGGCTGTTATGGCTATATTATGAATTCGGAATCGCCAAAGAATTTTTACTAAGTCAGGCTGTACCTTGGGTCCTTTGATAAGAATGTCATTCAATGACAGACCAGATGAGGCAGTGGCAGAACCGTCAAACACTACACGAACCTTGGTCGTAGAACTGTCCGACTTAAAAACAGCGTGATGTGGCAGGTAATATGTTGGTCCTTTAAAGTCTAGGTCAGCCAATACCATGTGACCCAAGTCCATGTATTCATTCATGAAAGCCGTGTAACTTTCAGCTAATGCTGAGTCTTTTATCAACCGCTTCTCCAGGTTTAGGAATCTTCTTGTTGCCATCGCTCGGGAATCACCAAGGCAGGAGGGGTCCTGATTCAATGGCAGTTTCACTATAAATCTTCCCATGGCATTTTGAGTATATGTAGACATGAATATGGTTTCTGCTTTGATTTCTTCACTCCTTTTATTAACAGTATTGGAAGTGTACAATGAAAGGGCAGAATCACTATGAACGGTGAGTGATGAAATATTATTACATGAAAGAATGGGGAGCTTTCCCGCAACTATCCAACCAAAATCTGTTTGATACAGCGCCGAGTGCTTGGACAATGGCCATCTACCAGATCCAAGAATGCTAAAAAATATATCAGCACCTAATAGGACCTCTATAGGGCCCGGAATGTCAAATTGAGGGTCAGCTAAATGTGCCTTTAGGTGATCAGGAATACCTAAGAAACTTCGGTTCACTTAAGTTGATGGCAATGAAGGCACAATGATTGGTAGTGCATGCAGAGTGACATTAAAATTATGAGTACCATGGCAAGAAGATATAATAGTTTGAGAATGGTACTGTGCTGATGAAGACATGGAGCTCACACCAATGATGTTGAAATCATTTTTGAATAGGTTTAATCTTAGCCTATTAGCAAACCTTTGATCAATAAAATTTAATTGAGATCCGGAATCCAACACTGCGCGGCATTTGTATTGTTGACCATACTGATTGCGTATGTAAATGACCGCTGTGGCTAACATTACCACATCTGCTGGGCTTGGCTGAGTAACTTGAGCAACAGGATTAGTAAATAATACAGTATGAGTGGTTTGATCAGTGTGTTGTTCATTATCAGCTGGCTTGGAATCTGCAATGACAACACTATCATCATGTATTTTGGAATTATGGCGTAGTCCACATTTTGGACAGCTAGGAAAGTAACAAGATTCAACTTTGTGACCGGCATTTAAACAATTGTAGCAGAGCATAAGGCTTGTGATTGTTTTTCGTCTTTCTGGGATGGTCATTTTGTTGAACTGGTCGCATGAATATAGCTTGTGAGTTGCAGAACAAAGTGGACATTTTGATCCTTTAGACCGTGTAAAGAATGCCTTGTTATTATGCGCAGCAGGTTTTGCCTTTGCTGGTTTGTCAATTGCGTTTGAGATGATACCCGCTTCATATGCAGCAACCCGTTTGGAAAGAAATGATTCAATACTTGCATACGTTGGAAGTTCTTTAGTGTCCTGTCTGAGTTGCCATTCACCGGCAGTTGTTGCATCTAGTTGTCCACATATAAGAGTTACCAACCATGCATCCCATGACTGCACTGGCTGCCCCAAAGCCTTAAGTGCACGGACATGAGATGACACATGGTGATGCAATACTCTGAGATCTGCAGCTGAAGCAGTGTTGGCTTTAGGAGAATGAAGTAAGGCGCGAATATGTGATTGTATGGTAAGACCTTTATTTTCATACTGGCGTACTAACTCATCATAGGCTACTTGGTAGTTTTCCGCAGTGATTGAAAAGTTTTTGATTATATCCGCGGCTGGACCTGACACACTAGTCTTTAAATAATTCAAGCGCTGAACATCGTTTAATGCCGTGTTGTTGTGGAAGAGCGCATTGAATGTGTCAAAGAACGAAGACCAATCCTCAAGATTCCCCTTGAACATTGGAGGTTGAATTGTGGGTAACCTCAATGCTTCTCCAGTGGATGAATGTGAAACATTGGAAGAGTCTGTCGGGCTGTGTTTGGCAATCAGATCTTCCATATCAGCTCTAAGAGTATTATGATCATCCTCAAATTGAAGATGTAATGATTCTTCTTCTTGACCAAGGTTTAACTCGACAATTGCTGTTTGAACTTCATCAAAGGACATACCATAATCTATAAGCTTAGTCAGCCTAGTCTGCACTTGACGTATGGATTTTGTTTTGGGATCAAAATCTCTGATGTAATTACGGATGACTTCCACGGATGCTTTAATTGTAGTTCGTTTTTTTATGAGCTTACGCAACTCCTCTGGTGTGTCTTTGGTCATGTTGATAGGCAGAATTTGATGAACAATAAAAAATATAAATACAACCAAATGAAAGCAATGTTACCAGTTATGATATCATGCTACTGAGCAAAGAAAATACAAATGAAACAGAGTAACTTTCGATATTAGTTTAGATCACGTCGAGGTCACCAAATGTTGTCGCGTATGGCGCTTGACAAACGATATGCCAGGTACACCCCACGACTATGAAATGAAAAACCGTCCCTTGGTTTCTTTTATAAGTTACTATAGATTTATTTTGTATTTGTAAATATTCAAAAAGGTATTTTCTTTGGTAACAATGATATCATTTGTACAAAAATGCTTGATTAGCAGTATATAATGACAATAATATAATATAAATGTGCTTGATTAGCAATATAATTACAATGATATAATATAAATATGCTTGATTAGCAATATAATAATAATGGTATAATATAAATATGCTTGATTAGCAATATAATTACAATAATATAATATAAATGTGCTTGATTAGCAATATAATAATAATGGTATAATATAAATATGCTTGATTAGCAATATAATTACAATAATATAATATAAATGTGCTTGATTAGCAATATAATAATAATGGTATAATATAAATATGCTTGATTAGCAATATAATTACAATAATATAATATAAATGTGCTTGATTAGCAATATAATAATAATGGTATAATATAAATATGCTTGATTAGCAATATAATTACAATAATATAATATAAATGTGCTTGATTAGCAATATAATAATAATGGTATAATATAAATATGCTTGATTAGCAATATAATTACAATAATATAATATAAATGTGCTTGATTAGCAATATAATAATAATGGTATAATATAAATATGCTTGATTAGCAATATAATTACAATAATATAATATAAATGTGCTTGATTAGCAATATAATAATAATGGTATAATATAAATATGCTTGATTAGCAATATAATTACAATAATATAATATAAATGTGCTTGATTAGCAATATAATAATAATGGTATAATATAAATATGCTTGATTAGCAATATAATTACAATAATATAATATAAATGTGCTTGATTAGCAATATAATAATAATGGTATAATATAAATATGCTTGATTAGCAATATAATTACAATAATATAATATAAATGTGCTTGATTAGCAATATAATAATAATGGTATAATATAAATATGCTTGATTAGCAATATAATTACAATAATATAATATAAATGTGCTTGATTAGCAATATAATAATAATGGTATAATATAAATATGCTTGATTAGCAATATAATTACAATAATATAATATAAATGTGCTTGATTAGCAATATAATAATAATGGTATAATATAAATATGCTTGATTAGCAATATAATTACAATAATATAATATAAATGTGCTTGATTAGCAATATAATAATAATGGTATAATATAAATATGCTTGATTAGCAATATAATTACAATAATATAATATAAATGTGCTTGATTAGCAATATAATAATAATGGTATAATATAAATATGCTTGATTAGCAATATAATTACAATAATATAATATAAATGTGCTTGATTAGCAATATAATAATAATGGTATAATATAAATATGCTTGATTAGCAATATAATTACAATAATATAATATAAATGTGCTTGATTAGCAATATAATAATAATGGTATAATATAAATATGCTTGATTAGCAATATAATTACAATAATATAATATAAATGTGCTTGATTAGCAATATAATAATAATGGTATAATATAAATATGCTTGATTAGCAATATAATTACAATAATATAATATAAATGTGCTTGATTAGCAATATAATAATAATGGTATAATATAAATATGCTTGATTAGCAATATAATTACAATAATATAATATAAATGTGCTTGATTAGCAATATAATAATAATGGTATAATATAAATATGCTTGATTAGCAATATAATTACAATAATATAATATAAATGTGCTTGATTAGCAATATAATAATAATGGTATAATATAAATATGCTTGATTAGCAATATAATTACAATAATATAATATAAATGTGCTTGATTAGCAATATAATAATAATGGTATAATATAAATATGCTTGATTAGCAATATAATTACAATAATATAATATAAATGTGCTTGATTAGCAATATAATAATAATGGTATAATATAAATATGCTTGATTAGCAATATAATTACAATAATATAATATAAATGTGCTTGATTAGCAATATAATAATAATGGTATAATATAAATATGCTTGATTAGCAATATAATTACAATAATATAATATAAATGTGCTTGATTAGCAATATAATAATAATGGTATAATATAAATATGCTTGATTAGCAATATAATTACAATAATATAATATAAATGTGCTTGATTAGCAATATAATAATAATGGTATAATATAAATATGCTTGATTAGCAATATAATTACAATAATATAATATAAATGTGCTTGATTAGCAATATAATAATAATGGTATAATATAAATATGCTTGATTAGCAATATAATTACAATAATATAATATAAATGTGCTTGATTAGCAATATAATAATAATGGTATAATATAAATATGCTTGATTAGCAATATAATTACAATAATATAATATAAATGTGCTTGATTAGCAATATAATAATAATGGTATAATATAAATATGCTTGATTAGCAATATAATTACAATAATATAATATAAATGTGCTTGATTAGCAATATAATAATAATGGTATAATATAAATATGCTTGATTAGCAATATAATTACAATAATATAATATAAATGTGCTTGATTAGCAATATAATAATAATGGTATAATATAAATATGCTTGATTAGCAATATAATTACAATAATATAATATAAATGTGCTTGATTAGCAATATAATAATAATGGTATAATATAAATATGCTTGATTAGCAATATAATTACAATAATATAATATAAATGTGCTTGATTAGCAATATAATAATAATGGTATAATATAAATATGCTTGATTAGCAATATAATTACAATAATATAATATAAATGTGCTTGATTAGCAATATAATAATAATGGTATAATATAAATATGCTTGATTAGCAATATAATTACAATAATATAATATAAATGTGCTTGATTAGCAATATAATAATAATGGTATAATATAAATATGCTTGATTAGCAATATAATTACAATAATATAATATAAATGTGCTTGATTAGCAATATAATAATAATGGTATAANAATATCTATAATATTATATTACTTATCTAAAAATAATTTTTATGTAGGTAATAATAATCAGAATAGCAATGAAATGACTTACATTTTGCTATGATATTCTTCAAAACAGAGTTCCAAACATAATCCCGGTTGATCTTCACACTTATTGCAATAATAAATGGTTTCTACTCTTTTTCCCTTTGTGGCGCAAATTCGACATCTTTTACGAATATACCGTCTTTTATGATTTTTGTCCACTTTGATAGGAAAATGTTTTTGTGGTAATCGTGAATATGGTGGTTGTATTGGGTATCATAATAGCTTATTTTTTTGACGTTTTTACAATACAGCAAATAAGAATTTAGTAACGTTATTTGCAAAAAATGAAACCCTATTTTTTTATACCACCTCAACGTTTTTCTTTCGCAAGGGTAATATGACAACATTTGGTCTTGCCGATCAATGCCGGACATAAACTTGTTGTACTCCGATATCGGCAAGGGCTTCAATTTGGATTTACCATATTTATTATGTACTTCTATCATTTCATTTTTGAACTCGGAACTTATAGCAAGGACTTCTCTTTTGTCTTTCCATTTGACTATACACACACCATATTTAGTATATTTACAAACGGATTCTCCAGTTTTAAGTTTTTTTGAAATGATTTCTTTCGGATTATTTTTTCGGTTGTTTCGTAGTGTCCCTGTGCAGTATGTCTTACGTTGTAGTAATGAGTGTGCTAAATTACTGCTGTTGTAATAGTTGTCCATAAAGAGTGAGTGACCTTTATCCAAATAATTTTCCATCAGTTTATAAACAACATACTCTGTATGAGTTTTTTCAGGTGTACTATCAGTACCTTGCCCAGAATAAATAAGAATATTTAATACAAGTCCGTTAGGTTCAGTCAACATATAAAGTTTTATACCATATTTGTGGCGTTTATTTTTTATATATTGGCGGAAAACTAATCGGCCACGCCAAAGGACCATTGACTCGTCCAAGGATAATTGTTTAGACGGTTTATATACTTCGAGCATACGGTTATTGAAATACTCTAAAACTGGGTCGATTTTATATAATCGACTAGGTTTGGGATCATCAGGGTCAGGGTTGCGACTAAAATGTAATGCACGCGTTATCAGCATGTACCTGTTTCTACTCATAAAGTCACGAAAGCAATTTAAATTAAAAAGCTTATCGGTTTTCCAATAATCAGACATCCGTGGCATTTTTATTGTGCCTGTATGAAAAACTAATCCAAAAAAAGTTTTCAATTCATTTTTGGTAAGTTCGATCCATTTTGAAATTCGAGATTTATTACTGGACCTAGTCAAGAATAACTCAGCTGCATAATTATTTGTTTCCTCAAGGACGAAGTCATAAAAATCATCGGTCAATAGTAAGTCAAAAAAATCAATTGGTTTGTCACCATTAGGCTTTATTTTTAATCCGGTATTTTCGTCAAAAACAATAAGGTCCAAATCTGGGGAATGATCTAACCAAATATTATTATGTGTTTGTGAATTTGTCAGATTCTTATTTTTTTTCGATGAATTGTAGTTAATAATAGTTAATTATAGTTTATAAGTGGAGAAAGTTCATTTTGCATTGACATTTTATCGATATTATCTAAACGCAAAGGACTTACTTCTCTGATGAAACTGTCATTTTCAATTTCGGTCTCATTTTGCAAAACCTTTTCATTTACACAATAATCTGAATCGTCGTCCGCCGAATCACCTTCACCTAGATCTGTATCTGAGTCATAAGAAAACTGTTCATCAGACGATAATGGTTCTTCAAACATTGCAGAAATATCATGATCGGATAAACGTATTTTTTTAGTAACCGGTGATTTTGAACGATCATGGGACGTACCAGGTGTACAAAGAGAAGAATCCATTTTTTTGTAATTTGAATAATAAAATTTGTTCTTACATAAATAAAATAACAATAAAATGTATACGATTTATAACTAGCGATTCAAAATTATGAATAATAATACAGGTATATGGTATGCATGTAAATAAACATATATTATATACGTCGATGTACCGATACCATACAATATTGATTAGTGAAAACTTCAGCGTGTTGAACGTGACTAATAGACGTGTTCAACTATTTTATAGTTGAAGTACCTAATGAATACTATAATAATAACATAATAATAGTATGCAGCTAGCAGGTAAATGAAATAATAATGAATGATGTAAAATCCTAGAATTATTTTCGTTTAAAAATTATAATATATATATATATTTATATGGATATTATAAGAAAAATAAAACAAGTTTGGAAATACGAATATTATATATAATAAAAATAACAACACAGCTGTGTATCACAAAAACAATAAATATATGTATAATTGTCGTGGTCGTCATCCACAAATTCCTGCGAAAAATAAACATTACTTTTATAAAAATAAACGAAAATTTAATTAGAATACAGTCTATACCAGAGGTTCCCAAACTGTGGGTCGCGACCCAAAAGTGGGTCGCGATTATACTTTTGGTGGGTCGCGCTATTTTTTTAAATAATACAAAAATATAATCATCTATTACTTTTCGTTGATGTTCAAAGTTCAAATTCAGTTTTATCGTCAATCCTTATCTGTGAGTGTGACAATTACGAGTTTACCAGCGGCCGTGTTAAATCGACACAATCAGATTAATAAAGAATAGTTATTGTAAATATAACGATTTACCTATCTGAAACAAATTAGTAGATATGTGAATGTCGCTTGACGTTCAAAACTTTTGATTATTTTCAGTAACACGCGGCACATCGAATACGATACACGTACGCAGTTTTATATTAAATAGTACTTTTTGTTTTAAATAAATTCATTTTTTGTACTATGGACAATTGGTTAAACAAAAAGTCAATGAGTCAAAGTCAAGAAAAAATGGAGACAATATCTGTGTCAACAGTCAAAAAAAGAAAATTAAATTACGATGAGCCTTCAACAAGTTCTTCGGAATTAAAACAAAAAAAAAACTTGCAGAAAATATTGTCCGGAATATTTGCAAATTGGATTTACGTGGAACGGAGACGAAGAAAATCCACGACCACAATGTGTTATTTGTGGATGTATACTTGCAAATGAGAGTATGCGACCAAACAAATTACATCGACATATCGATACGAACCATCCAGAAATGAAAGGTAAACCACTCGATTTTTATAAAAAAAAACTAGAATCTCTAAAAACATCCAAAAATAATATTTTTAATTTTACTGCAACTAACCAAAAAGCTACGTACGCTTCATATAAAATATGTTTACGAATTGCTCAAACTGGTAAGCCTCACACAATTGGTGAGTCTTTAATTTTACCAGCAATCAAAGACGCAGTCGGAATCTTGTTTGATCAAAAATGTTTAAAAGAAGTTTAAAAGTTATCGCTTTCAAATAATACAGTGTCGCGTAGAATCGATGAAATTTCTGAATGGGTAGAAAATAAACTGATTGAAAGAGTTAAATTGAGTAGATGGTTTTCATTACAGCTAGACGAGTCCACAGATATCCAAGGCTTATCTCAGATGATTGTTTTCGTACGTTACATATGGATGAATGAATCTCACGAGGATTTTTTGTGCTGTGAACCGATTATTCGAGGTACAAGTGATGAAATTTTTAATACTCTTAATACCTATATAACAGCGAAAGGAATTGAATGGACGAAATGTGTCGGGTTATGTACGGACGGCGCCCGAGCATTGTGTGGTAAGAACAGTAGTGTTATTACTAAAATTCGTGAAATTAACCCTAATGTGCATGGATGCACTGCAATATCCATAGGGAGGCATTAGTATCAAAATCTTTGTCAGATGATTTTAGAAGTGTATTAAACACGTCTGTAAAAATAGTAAATTTTATTAAGGCAAGGCCGTTACAGTCCCGTTTATTTGAGAAGCTTTGCGAAGAAATGGGCAGTATTCACAAATCACTTCTCCTTCACACTGAGGTACGTTGGCTATCGAGGGGGAAAGTTCTTACAAGACTTGTCGAACTTCGCGAAGAAGTCACTTATTATTTGTACGAAAAAAATGATTACGTAAAATTCTTACGTGATGTGAAGTTTATTTTAAAGCTTACATACTTAGCAGATATATTTTCTAAATTAAATGAACTTAATTTATATTTGCAAGGTATAGGCGGAGATATATTTTCAGTTCACGACAAAATTCGAGCATTTATGAAAAAACTTTTGTTGTGGAAAAATAATATTGAAAACAAAATGTTTGACTGTTTTGAATCATTTTCTAATTTCATAATTGAAAATCAAATAGAAGTTGATGATAGCATTATTACATCTATTTCTGATCATTTACAAACACTAAAAGATAATTTTGATTCATATTTTCTGAGTGAAATGGAGAACTATCAACAAATGAAATGGATTTCAAATCCTTTTCAAGAACATGACATGACAAGTGGGTTATCAATAAGAGCTAAAGAAGAATTAATCGAACTATTTGAAGATAGTGTGTTTAAAATGTATTTCAATCGAAAAAAATTAATAAGTTTCTGGTTATCAGTTCAAGAAAATTATCCAACTGTTTCCAATGAAGCTGTAAAGATGCTACTCCCATTCATTTCATCATATAATTGTGAGGTTGGTTTTTCGGCAATGGTTGCTATTAAAACCAAATTACGGAGCAAATTGAAACTTTCAAACTCACTGCGTCTCAAGCTAACCAATGCTGAAGTGGATATCGATGATGTGATGAAAAAAAATAGTTAACAATTACATCCTTCACATTAAAATTATATACTTATTAAATTTTACTAATATATTATACTTATTATACTTTTTTTTCGTAATTACATAAAATTTTATAAAATAGTTTAATTTTCTGTTGTATGGTAAAAAAAAAAAAAAGGTCATTCATTGATATTGTGGGTCGCCATATTTTAAAAAATTTTCAAAATGGNAAAAAACCGAAAGTAATAACTAATAACTAATAAGAAATAATAATTATTGTTCACCCGTTCTTCTCGTCGTATAAGCTTATATATTAGCGGTTCTCGCAATGATGTTAAACGTTATACAATATACATTTACGATCTTCTTTTCTCGTGTGCGAGATCCAAATTGTAAGTACTGTAAGTCCTGCAGACAATATTATTATCATGCGTAAAATCACCCCACGGATTTAGTATACCGTCTCCCATGTTTAATAGTATGAGGATGCACGGACGGACGAATAATACTATTAGCGTTTAAACAATATTATACTATATTATAGTCGATCTACAATCAGACAATGTATCATTGTATACCATGTATCTAACCTCGCATAATTTGAAAATTGCCGTGGTGGATTACAGGGTGATCTTAGTGGGTAATCTTATAGTACAATTTTAGAACCAAAAAATATGTTACATAATCATACCTAATGTATAACTTTGTATGAGACAAAAATCTGAGAACATTTGAGAAAATATTGTGTTTTTTTGAGAACGACTGCTTTGAAGTTTAACGGATGGTCTCGTTTGGCTCTGATGTAGGATTTATATGGATAGACTATAGAAATAAGAAATTACATTATTATTATTATTATCTATTATCTAGATATAAAAAAAATTAATTGATTCGACTCGCGTTTTTGATTCTTAATTAATGTTCGAAACTAAATGTTTACACAGTATTTACTCAATTAAATATAATACTAAACAAAGATATATTATTATCTATTTAATTGTAGTAAAAGTGTTAATAGTAGAAATTAGAAAATATGCTGCTCTGGTATTTTTTTTTATTGGACAATATATATTATGTACTTATCTATAATTAGTATAGTTTCCAATACTGACTCTGTGCATATATATGTTTATTGTTTATAATTAAACCATTTCTCTATTTTATATTCATAGACGAAGGTACAGTTTCCCACATCTCACGTTAAAGTTTAGGATCATTATTGTAAGCCTTACAGCAATTTTCTCTATTACAAAATCCATTTTCTGTCATAAGTGTCATTCTGTCATTTCCATGACGTATCACTTACCAACTAAAAAACGAAGAAAACCATATCGTTTTGATTGCGTTATTTTATAAATTTTTTTCAACAAAGATTTGAATAGGTATATACTTACATATTCTGGACTTTTTGTCTATTATGTTCGTGTAATATTGGTTAGTCAGAATATTGTTGCTAGTTTTCTGTCTTATTTATACATATTTAGATCATAGTATAATATTGTATCTTACTGTTGTTACTTTCTTAGTATGTTTTGGGAATTAGGATTTTAGAAACATGAGTATACGATACGACTAGGTCCTCGAAATTAAAAAAAAACCACGGTGACAATACAAAATTTTGTATCCATCACATGTATAATAATATATAATACACTTAATATACATAATATATATGATACAGTTTATAATGTATACACTACAGGATAACAACACATGGACAGACTGCTACTGCAGAAATATTACACTACTAACGATCGAATTGCATGATACTCATCAACACGTCATTCTGAATTGATCATCCCTCGAGTGAATATTTTAAGAAAAACCTAAATCTTTTATTTTTATTTTGTTTCGTTGAGTTATAACGTCACTCAAAATGTAGACAGGAAAAAATAATAAACACTGCTAGTAACTAATATTCGGTTTTTAATGTGTTTGAAAGGCAGAGTGTGTACCTAACCATACTATAATATAATATAATGACGACGACAACGACGACAATCTCTCGGTCGTCTGCTTCTCAACCGCCTCCGGGTCGTAGCAACCCGTATAAAATAATATAAACATCATCTCGTATAGAAATCAGGAATCAATGAAAACATATACTTGGATCTATATACTATACGTATATTATACATTAATAATAATACAAGATGGCAATATAATGGGCTGCAACAGCACCACCAAGG